GTCGGACGCTGAACCAGCTGAGCCACCCAGGCGCCCCTAAAAATACATTTTAAAAACGGTCTGAGTCACTCTCTGTTTTTTGGAAAGTGCCCCAGTTTTCATAATTATAAATGAGTAATCTAGGGTTTCCCCTTTCACTCCTGTGGGTGTATCATTGTAGGGAGCTAAACATAACAGAAGGACTTGTAACTATGAGAAAATTTTGTCTCCGTTGCTTAACAAATAAAAACAAAAACCGACTACTAGCTTTGTTTCACTCAAATTGTGATAGTGACGTTTGGGTCCCCAAGTGCGTGCCCTGGGTTGGCTGCAACAGACAGGACTTGTCTGTGTGTTTCTACCCTGTTAACACCCTGCATTGCTTTTTCCCCACTTCTGCAGTATGACTTGAGGCCGTGACCATGGATTTTTCCCGGCTTCACATGTACACCCCTCCTCAGTGCGTGCCCGAGAACACTGGCTATACCTATGCACTCAGGTGAGCGTGCTCGCGTCCCGTCCCATCGTTGCCTGGTCACCTCTCCGCTCTTGAATGCCTGGGGTGTGGGAGCTTCTTGCCACTTGCAACCAAATGCTGTCTTCTGAAAGGGAAAATAGCTGCAGAGTTCCTATTGTACGAAGGCTTTACGAAACTATTAAACCATGGAGATGGGGAGGTGGTTTTGACAACCAGACATTCTGGTGACTCAGGGTGAGTCATTGCCAATGTCCTGTTTTAGACCCCACCCAAGTGGCTGTGGTCTCCTGGATGAATCGCTGTGGTTATGGGTAGGGTTTTGTGATTTGTATTAATGGCGGGGTATTTTGAAGTGAACAGAAATAACCTGGAAAGGGATTTGCCTGTGAGAGGAGGAGGAACCCTAAACAGAATTTTGATGAAGCCCACGGTTTCCAGAGCAGCATTGTCAGAAGCTCAGTTTTCTGTGCTTATTCTGACATGATACTGAAGTCTGAAAGTGGCTGAGTGGCCCCTTGCCTGTCTAGTTCACCAAGTAGGAGGGATTGTTGAGACGAAACTGAAGAGTTACACACCACGGGTTAGTGCCGGAGAACACAGCACTCAGCGGGAAAGAGTGCTGTGTTCTGAGGAGACCTTCAAGGTACACAAGGAAAATGCTTGTGTAAGTTTTTTCAGTGGCTTATTTTTGAAGGATAAAAATAGAAACTAATAAAACTGGAAGGTATTTTAACAAAGGTACTCTTTTTTTTTTTTAAAGATTTTATTTATTTGAGAGAGAGAGAGCACATGAGAGGGGGGAGGGTCAGAGGGAGAAGCAGACTCCCCGC